GCAATGTGTTGATGTAACATTGAGTCAAAGTCGTAGCATTTTAACGTTTAATAAAACACCGATTATACTACGAACACCGATTATATTACAAAAAAAAAATTAAAAAATGCGAGCAAAAATCTATTTTATTTCAATATTTTTCGAGATTCCCATCCATTGAAATACCTTAAAAACAAAAAAGTCATTATGGAACTTGGCCTGCAGATATTTTTGAAAACATGCCCGTTTTCTTAGCTTTCTGAAAATGCGTAATAACTAGGAACACATTATTTCAGAGGAATCGGAGAGGAAGAGGAATCGGTATTCGTCCTCAAACTGAAGTTACGGTTGGTTTTGAAATTTCCCATAAAAGTAATTAAAAACAGCAATAAACGTAAAATAAACCAAAAATACGAATATGTTTCAAAATTGACTGTAAAAATTGACACATCATTTAAATTTAAAAAGATAAAGATAAAGCCCGTTTTTATTTTAAATTCTATTTTATTTGTTACTTCAAAATATCTATGTTAATCTTTTCTTTTATCAAAATTAATGTTGCTGTAAAATATTGGATGATGTGTCTATAAGTTGGCAGCTAATACTAAACTTTGCAGGCTTAAAAAACTCTAAACATTTGATTAATCTTATCTTATCTGACTGTAAATAATATGGATGCTGAACATTTGTAAATCAGGAATTAGAAGTCTCCACCATGCAAATTAAAAGAATCAATTTATGGCTAATTTATATTACTTAGCTAGTAAATTGTTTTAAATATGTAACATCTAAATTAACTTTATTTCTGACCACATGCAATCCGCAACTATCTCTGTGTGTTCCAAAGAAAAAAAAGTGAAACCTATAATGTGTTTTCAGTAAAAAAAAACATTAGTCACAAATCACAAGATAAATTCCATTCATTATGATGTTATATTCATTTTTGAATTACAAGAATGATTACAATTGCAAGATGGACTACAACAAGAGATTTTAAGTCAACATCACTTTTCTATTATGATAATATCTCTGTGATAAATTCTTAAAGAATTCTACTGTTGCTTAGCATTATTTCATATAAACTGTTTATTTATGTGTTTGTCTTCTTTCCAAATTATTTTAACTATCTTAAGTCTTGAGAGTTGATTAAATGTTACATGAAGAATACAGCACCAGTATCTTCTAATTATATTCCTTCTGTCATCCGACAGCAACTGTAACTGAATTTTATAATACTTAATATATGCAATCATGTAAAAGCTGAGTTAGTCCATTCTGTGTTTTAGAAAAGTAAAGACTGTAAGAAAACTCCATGTCCATCAACACAAGAATTGTTACATAACTTTGTTCAGTGTTACTCATTCTAATTTTGAAAATATACATTAAATGTATAGTACTGTCTCCGGCTAAATATTTTACAAAT